AAACCAGCCCAGATTGTCGAATTCTCATCAAGATTCCGTTGAATCTGTCTTTATATGGACAATCTCCAGTTACTATTGCGCGTTGTATCTATTTTTAAATTACTTGTATCAAAATTTAATAGTACCTATATTCATAGATTATTTCATACATGTACTTAATGTTTTATCATAAAATGTGCAAAACATATATAAGGTGTTTTATTGACTAATCGACTCAATAATAATGTAATTTCAACATTGATATATTTAGATTGCTTATAGATATACCTTGTAGGTGGTCCTTTTATTATGTGAAATAAACTGATGCCAGTAGAATTTGAATACATCTTTAATGAATACAATTTAGAACTTAAGTAACTCCATAATAGTGCAGAATCTCTTTCTGTGCCAACTCTTCTTAAATTTTCTGTAACATTATCACTTAATACTTGTCGCCTGTAATGACAGAAAATCCAGTTTAATTATATACTTTAGATGTATAGGGTTAAAATGTACATATTATTATGTTTTAAGTTTTTATAAATACAATTATTGAATGAGTAGCTGATATTTAACCAAGACATAAAACAAAACCGATTTCATTATTAATCAATTGTGCTAAATTTCCACCATATTTTATAACTAAACGTTTTAGTATCTAATTTATATAATAATTATAATTCCAACTATAAAAATATAAGCTTTTAATAAACAAAATTCAACAATTTTATCAAATTTAGAGTACCATTTATTGACAATTGACTGGAAAATAAAAAAAACATCTACAAAAAAATCTGTCTTTTTGGTGGGCATATGCTAAATAACAATAATTTGAAATTTTTTTAGCAATTGAAAGATATAAAGCGAAGCAAAATTATTGTATTCAAAACACATGCCCAAAAATATAAATCTTTTTTATTACAATTACTCAACTTTCAGAAATTTAATAATTATAATTATATTTAGCTAATATTAAACCAATCAAAAGATGAGTAAAAATATCATCAACAAAAAACAGGCCGAGATTTTCTATTCCTGCAATATCAATTATTCATGGGAAAATTTTTGTACATTTCACAAAAAATACTATTATTAAAAAATAAAGATAATTACATTATCACAAGTCAATTATTGAGTAAATCGGTGCAAATAACAAGTTAATAATTTAATTATTTGGCTAACCTATAAAGTTTCATATAGATACCACTTTCATCTTCTGCTGCTATATCTTTTAGAAGATCTTTAAAGCCATAAACTGTTCTAATTTTTAAAGTGCTTGCAGCTAATTCTTCTATGTTCTTTATATCTAGAGATATTCTACTAGCACTGAGACGTTCCACCATCTTACCTAAAATAAACAGATATTTATTTAAAATATAAATCTAATCAAAATAAATCAAACTTCCAAAGTCCGAACATTACTTTTTGCATCAATTCAGCCCAATTAAAAGTATTAAATAACGATTTCCTTCAAATGAACGTTTTTTCAAGTAGAGGAAATAAGGACAAAATGGCACAGTGGCCTTATTTAAAAATTGGCTAGTTGTATTAACGGCTAGTAATATGGTGATGTCACAAAGAGGACAAAACGATTTATTCGTGACTTGTTTCTTTAAAATTAAATGAGCAAGATGGTTTTGGTAATAAGTTGCATTTTTCTTAAATAAAAATGTTACTATGGTTTCTACTTAATTAAAATACTATCTCACTGGGAGTCAATTAACCAAAGATGAGTAAAACCGATTGGGACTGGTTATAGTATCATTTAAAAAAACTAAACACCATTTTATTTTGCCCGCACTTTCTCTATAACTGTATGTTACTTGGATATTGTTTTTAAAATCTGCTATTACTATTGTTTAATTATTAAAATAATTTTAAGTTGGCTATATAGATGCGTCTATAATTACCTTGATAAGTATAGCTAACAATCATCGAAAACAAAACCACAGAAATAAACAAACACCTTTCATATATTTTTCGCCGACTTTTTTGAGAAACTTGTAGCATTATGCCAAATAGCATCTGTAAAATATCTTCAGTTCGCATTAAATCTCTGTTGAAATGCTCTTCAAAAGAATGTGGTACATAAAAATTGCTTTTGATTCGTAGATTTACGTTTTGTAGAACATACCAAATAAGGGCTGTAGCCAAAAACATGCTGAATAATGCAAATGAAGTAGCAGTGTCATATATTCTCAAAAATGAAACTGCAAAATCTTCATCCATTTTAGGAACAAGAAAAGTGAATTTCATTTCATCAGCAGGAAATAAAAATTGCGCATTAGCTTGTCCATAGCTTTTGATCGGTCGAATGTTTCCTAAAATATCAGCCACTCCACTATCGATATCTAATATAGATCCTAATAAAGTTCCATTATTTAAAGCACCACCGTATGTCAAACCATCAGTTGGTGTAAAATAAATAGGTGTAAAATTTA